GCAGAAACCGGGTCTGAGATAACATTCACATAAAATTTTAGCTTAGTTCCCCCAACCACCTAGCCTAGCCAAGTCAGGAAATATAAAAGTTCAAGTTCTCATTGTCCCAATGACCTCATAACCCCAAGTTGGTACGTGTTGCATGATTTTGTTGTAATTAGAGGCATCCTAAAGTGGGTATCAGTGCATACCTTGCATGTATCTCAAGTGGCTCATGTTGGGGCTTAATACATGAAGGTTTTAGAAACCTGGTATTTGTTTTTGCTTTCTTTGGGGGTTTTCTTAAGCAAATAATTTTGAACTTAGTGCTCTCAACTGCCCATCTCATTGGAGTTTTATAGTATTGAGATGATATGTGAAAATGGGTTTCTGTGTGAACACAAGTATTTCTAAAAATAGGATTATATTTTCTGTCTACTCAAATAAGGAATACTCATGTATTTTGAAAGTGGATGGTTAGATGTACATTTACTTGTATTTGCTCATTCTTTCTATTGCATATTAAGTTGTATTTTGTAGTTCAACATCACTAAGTAAATCATTCTTCTTCCCCCTCTGTGAATCCAAGGGAGCTCTGTCTTAGGCTCTGGGGCCATGGCGCTGCATCAGTACAGCGCTCTCTGTGGTTTCAGTCAAGCAGCTCTCTGTGTTTCTTGAGGTTTCGTGGAGAGGAGCAGCATAAGCCGTCCAGGGAGCTCTGTATGAACGTCAGGAGGCCCCCTGGTCTTGGTCTACCTCCCCATCTGCCTGTGTTTTCTGTAGTATGGTTGATACTATCTGTACTCTCATTTTCTTCCAATTGCCTTTATTCTACTTCTGTTATTAATGCGCAGGGTTTTTTGGAGCTCAGAAGTAGGTAGGCCCTTTACACCACTGTGGTCCTGCTTCCAGGTGATTCTTGAGAACCTTGTGACCTGTGTTCTGTTGGTCAGGGAGTATGTGAGAGCTCTGGAAGAGGTATAATCAGTGTTTGCTACAGCCTCTCTCACCCCACTCAGAGTAGAGTCCTGTAGTCTTAGACTGTCTTTATTACTTTTGGGGTACTAAGCTATTCTTTTGTGAATGATGCTATGCTAGATAGTAAAGAAAATTTTTGTGTCCTTATTTGTTTCCTAAGTTTGCTTTTAAAATGAATTTATCTAGCAAATAAAAAGTATGTTACACACATTCCCCAATTCCTTTTTCACAGTGATGGAGTAAAAAGTAGGGGAGCCATTGGTATAGATGTAAATTGTTTAGTGTTGGGGGCTGCACCTTCAGAGTTCAAGTTGGGAGATAGAGAGGGTGGGACCCAGGGCCTCTGGACAAGTTTTGCCTCAAGAGGAAAAAATTCTCACCATAGAGCACTTGACCCGTTTACTTTCAAAAAGAAAAAAAAAAAATTAATACAACTGACCTTGACGTGAGACCAACCACTGTTCCAGGGTTCTGGGCTCCCACGCTGGCAGGCCATGTCCTTCTGAGCCCGAGGACTGTGTCACATCCCACACCAGGGATCACCGCCTTCAAAGCCCATAGCCTTAGAGCAAGAAGTCCCTGCACATGAATGTCAGGAGGTGTTGTTTATGAGCTCCATCCACCATCTTTTTCCGAACTCTCAGAAGGTCAGCAAGGCACATCTGGTCAATGTCTCCTAGCCTCTGTTATGAAGAGGGAAGGGTAGGGGTGCTGCCCAAAAGGAGGAAGGGGACATTTGGCAACCACTGGGCTTACCTGCTGAATCTACAGCAAGGACATCTCTCCATGGGAACTTGCCTGCCACCCACTCAGGTGTCCGTCCCCTTAGGGATATTGGCAGAAGCTTGTATGATAACCTCTAGGCACTATTGGGTGAGTTCACAATGCACCTGTAGTCCTGCTTCCTTCTGGGTGAGTTTAGCTCATTTTCTACAGATAGAGCTTGTAATACATGTCTTTGTATGGAAGCAAACACTAACTGCCAGCCAAATGAAGATCAAGAAGAGGGAACTGCTGTTCATTGAAGCAGTGTGTGGTGGAAAGATGCTGCGGATTTGTGCTTCTGCTTCAAACTGGGGTTGAACAATAAAGAACCCAGACTGTGGGTATTTCCCACTGTGGAGGGAGTTTAATGATCAGAGCTTGGACTTATGTCATAAGTTTCCCTGGAAGTAATCCCCACACACACTCTTTCTGCAACACCTACTTTTAAAACAGAGCAACAATGAGCTAGCCTACCTCCTGGCTTTTCTTGGAAAAGGCATTTCTAAGGATGTCTGTCTGGCTTAGCTCGACGCCTAAATTTGTGTCTGAGTCAAATTTCACAGTTGAGTCTACATGATTTCCTTCTGTGCATCATCTTACTCTTGGACTGAGACAGCAGGTATTCCTGTCATCAGTGCCTATCTGCAGCCCCTGCCTACAACACAGTGGTAGGCAGAAACAGCATCCCATGGATCATCCTGGACTTAGCTCTTTTCACACGCGGACGACGCGCAGATACCTCCCTGCCTAAGAAAAGGTAGTAGACAAAACGGGTGAGAACACCTCCCTAGGCCTTGCAAGACTCTTTTACACGTCACTCTGGGCTAAAGACAGTCTTGGATGTGGCAAGGCTGGCTCCTGAATCCAGGTTCTACCCTACGATGCATGTGGTTTGGGACATGCAGGAATGGAAACCAGATGTGGGAAGTTGTTCCCACTGAGGCCTCAGCAGAAAAATTTGTGTGTCCTCTTTGCAAGACCTTGATGAGCCTGTAGAAGTGACCATGTTCCCAACACTCTGTGTGTGCTCGGAGGGGCTCTGCTGCCTTTCGTGTGGTGGCAGGGTCATTGCAGTGCAGTGCGTTCTGAGGCACTCTGGTTTACTCCTTCATCTGGACAGCTGCCATTCATTTCTTTTTGCATTTGCCTTTATGCTTCCCCTGTTCTTTCTTGTCTGTACTTACAGACCAGAAGTCCACAACCAGAAGAGGACCCCCCCCACACACGTGGGCAAATGTAGGCCCTACAGCTGGGAGAAGGCTGAGACACTCAAGAACCCTAGTGTGGACAGCCTGATGGACAAAGGAGTGTGCCATCTGGCCACCTCCTGGTATCGGCTGCTCTCCAGGGACCCTGGAGTGTGTACAGTTTATCAGGTTTGGGGTCTGACCTCTAGCCCCTGTATTCTCTGTTCCGTAGCCTGCAAGGAGAATGACCAACACTCTAAGCCGTGAAGCTGGTCGGAGACTAGCAGCTTGGAGCTGCCTCTGGCCTAGATGGCTGCTCAGGCTTTTAAAGTTGCTGAATTAGTTGCTGATATAAGGAAGGGTGCATTCGCCATAAGTAAAATTCCATGTCTCAGGGAGAAATGTTTCTGGGAACCATGAGAGGTATTCCCAGGTCTGACAGCAGAGCTCTGGTGTCCTGTGGAAACCTGGCTTCCTATGCTGCATCTCTTCACCTGTGGAAACCTGGCTTCCCATGCTGCATCTCTTCACCTGTGGAAACCTGGCTTCCCATGCTGCATCTCTTCACCCTACATTGTCTCTCTGGTCATGGAAAGCTGTTGTAGCTCTAAAGATGACATTTGATACTCCCCAGCAGGAGGCCAGAAGCTAGATAGATCACTATTACGAAGGGAAACTTTTTCCAGAAATCCTCTCCTAAAACCTTCCCCTTATATCTCTGTGGTCAGAGCTGGAGAAAGCACACATTTCTCAAGACCTGAGTGCTTCGCTGCTCTAAACACAATCAGTGCACTTAACCATGTCTTGCCATAGTTTCAGAGCTTCTGAGTCAAAGATTTCCTGGCCAGTTCCAGGAGGCTAATTTGGATCAAGGAATGCTAAGCTCTACCAGAGCTAAACCACTCTCCTGCTGCAGCCCTCTGGCACATGCCCCACACCTGGGGGCCACGCTTCCCACCAACTGTTAGGCTACTCCCGCACCCCTCTTTACCTGCCATAAGTGCCGCACTGCCTGGCAGCCCTGGGCTCCTTAGTACTGGTGCTTCAATTTCAGGATCTTAGCAAGAATGTCTTCTTGCCTGCCCTACACCAAGCCAGTGTTCAAGAACAGAGCTGCAATTCTCTGAGCCACTGTGTATTTGCGTTTGGGAATGTATTCCCCCGGAAAGTCATGAGCAACTGGTCTCGCAATGCTGTGCTACCTGGAGGCTTCAAGTAGCAGTCTGGTGTCTTCAAGTTGGTATGCTTGCTCTTTCTACTTGTGATGACACTTGAGGTTGGCAGGCATGGATGTGTGTGTTATGTATACATGCATCAAATTGAAAATGTCTCCTCCCTCCTGCCAGCATAACCCCATTGAGCACCTGCAATGAGGCTGTGAATTTCTCCTGCAGTCAGGTGGGTGAGCTGGCTGTGCTGCACATGAGCTTCCCATGCCATTCCCCTGGCTTGCCTGTCAGTCTGCAGGCAGATCTCTCCATCACCAGTCATCTGACAGCTTGTCAGAATCCTTGGTAAATGGTTGGTACTTGACCCATGCTTAAAGGGACGTGAACTGGGCTGGGCACATGGGCAGCTCTTGTGTCTCAGTGCTTCAGAAACCAGGGGCATGCAGCCCTTCCACGCCAAGACCTACCAGAGTCCGGGGAGATCTCTGTAGCCAGTGCTTCCAAACTTTTCACACTGTCAGAAGTAAACTTGCTTTTAGAGCTTGGGAAGCCCACAAAACGTATATACCTTCCTCACCTGGGCCACTGTAGCTGTGTAGGATTCACAGCCAGTGTAAGAGACCCTGGTTATGCTGTTGGTCTGAGTGGACATAGGGGCTAAGTAGGAACTCCTTGTGCCAGTCGACAGCAACCATGTGATTCAGGGATGGCTTATAGATAAATTCTGGAAAATTCTGATGATCAGAGGCCTTCTTAAACCTCGGCATGCCTATGGCCCACCAAGGCTAAGGCAGCCCTAGCTCCAGATTGTGTGGTCTGGTGCTAAGTGGGGCAGACTCTGAGACCTCTAAGGAGATCACAGCACATGCTTCTTCTCAAAAGTTAAATAGCAGATGTCACTTCTCCCTTTTTTTCTGCCTAGGACAAGACATTTCAAAGAAAGTATTAAATTCATTCATGAGTGCCGTCTCCAGGGCGAGGGCTGTCTTGTGCACTGGTATGTATGACTCTTGCTCAATAACATTCTCATGAACTTGATTTCTAATTGATGTCTTTCTCTGTGTAGTTAATTATTGCATGTAATAACAGCACTCTCAAAACTCTGAACTCAGATGGGCAGGGCACCCCTGCCCTGCTCTGTTAGTCCATGTTTTACTTTGTTGAAAGAAAGCTGACTGGTTTTGCTTTTGTTTTGTGCGTTCATTTCACTCTGATAGGATTTCTGGAGGTTGTCAGCAGGGCTCGTGCACACTGAACACAACCTGTACTAGCCTCCCACTTCACTACAGCAGCCTCCTCTGGGTCAGATGGTTCATACCAGACCCCTTGGTGTGCCTTCCAAAGCCCCTTCTGCAGACTCCCAGCTGCAGGTGTTGGTACTTAGCAATACATTTCTGTTAACGCCAAAATAACTAATTCTTTTTCCATTTACAGATTGGGGCCTTTTTTCTGTGCTTGGCTCTAGTGCCTTGCTTTGAAATAATCTAAGCAGGCTTAAAATTAAATATTTCATTGATAGTGATCCACCTGCAGTTTGCTGTACTTAGTATAGATAAAAAGAAAGTCACAGCTCCATGTCCAGGGGTTCCAAATCCATGGAGTCAACCATGAATTAGAAATACTCAGAATTAAAAGTGTGTCATTATTCCCTAAACAATGGGGGATAACAGCTTTTAGCCCAGCATTTGCATTGTCAGGCTATATGCATCATCTGGAAATGAGTGAAAGCGTATTGGAAGACAGTGCAGGTGGCATCCAATACCATGCCATTCTTATACAGAGCCTGAGCACCATGGGTTCTGGTATCCACAGTGAGTCCTGGAACCAGTGCCCCATGGTTAGAAAGGGTAACTGCACATACACATCACACACGTACACCGTGAAAAGAAAGTCATGCTAGCACACTTACCCAAGGGTGAGGCTTATCCAGCTCTCTGCTTTGTCCCTGGCAAATGATGTACCTGGTACATAGTAGCAAGTTCTTGGTATGACCAATAGCAATGATGACAGTAGCCTAACTAATTTGCCTGGGGAATTAGTACCCAACATCCTGGAGCCAGGGTTTTGTTCTTTGTTAAAATGAAGACTGGCCATATCTATTCTGTCTTGAATGAGGTATGACATTAATTAACTGGAAGTGTAACAGCGTTTTGACTCTGTGAAGGCAGCCACCGTTACAGCATGAGCTCTCTGGAAATGAAAGATGCTCCTGCAGCTCATCCTGCTGGAACAGAAGGGAACTGTGCGCCCCAGCCAGAGAAGCCACCTCAGCACCGCAGCTGTGAGCCAGGAATCCAGCGGCTCTAAGAGTGGTGCCTTGCAGATTTACACAGATTATATATTAAATGATGTGCAGTATTTTGCTCTACTGTTTTGAAAAGTAGGCAGTGTGGTGAATGCACATGTTAGGTTTTTCTTTTACTCTTCACTTACATTTGATTGAAATTGCCTTGGGGGCAGTTGGAGGCAGATGATGAAGCAAGGTCTGACTCCAACCCCTGGGTCTCCTGTCACTCTCACATCAAGGGTTGTAGCCTAATAGGATATGTTTGTTTAAAATCCCTTTAAGGTTTTTCGTAAAAAGCCATGGCAAAGAGTTAGTACTTACGGCCTGATACTCGAAGAGTTTTCATATTTCATATATTGTCTACAACTGAAATTTTTCAGAAAATGAGACATTTGCTAAGCTTCTCTATCTTAAACTATTGCAAAAACGCTCTGAGGAACACAGCCTTCCTATGGCTGCTTTAACATTCATGTTCATGTGCATTTAAATAATTTAAATAATTATCCCTTCCCCAGCCTGATGGAGATAACCGACCAACCGTTATTGCCTGCAAGCACCCTGGCCATTGCCTTGGAGCATGGAGTGCTCAGTGTGCCTGCTACACTGCTGTCGGTTAGATAAAACAGGCAAAGAAGTGAGCATGTGGTAAGGGCTTCTATATTCCATGCACTTTTTTTCCAGTATTGAAGATGGGGGACCCAGAGCCCTGAGCATGCTAGGCAAGTTCTCTACCATTGAGCTACATGCCCAGCTCTTTCATCAGCTTTATAAATCATAGGTGTGAGAGGCTGGAGAGATGGCTCAGCAGTTAAGAACACTGACTGTTCTTGCAGAAGACCCGGGTTCTATTCCCAGCACCCACATGGCCGCTAACAACTGCCTGTAACTCCAGTTCCAGGGGATCTGACAGCCTCTTCTGTCCTCCTTGGGCATTGCATGACATGGGTGTACTTACATACATGCAGGCATAACACTCATACACATGAAATAAAATAATAAGTAAAAGTTTTAAAAAATCATAGATGTGGCCTTCATTTATGGTATCTAAGAAAACCAGACTTTTTCTTAATTGAGCTTTTACATTTTCATACATTTTCCACTCAAATCCAGACCCCCTCCCCCATCTGTGCCTCTCCCATCCCCCCACCAAACCTTATGCACTCTGCCATACATGCTGAGCCCTTTTCATTCAGGTGTTTGTACCCAAATGTCCTTCAGTGTAAATGTGTCCACTGGAGTCTAGTCAGACCATCCAGTGGTTGTATGTGAGTCATACTGTCCCTTACCCAGCAGCAAGCAGTCTCAAGTAGTTCTCAATCTAGTGCTGGCCCACCACCTATTTCTCATCTCACCTTTGGGCCCTTGTTTAATTGAGCTGACATGGGTCCCACGTTCAATGCCACCACTGCTGCAGACTCACATGAGCAAGGCTCCAGTGGCCTGGAAGCCTCCACCTCCTTATGTTCATGAACAAGCCTGGGGCTCTTACAGGCTTTCCGCCTCCTCTTCCACAATGGTGCCCGAGCCATGGTTGGGTGAGGTTCCATATAGGAGTTCCATCCTACAGTCTACAGCCTCTTATTCTCCAAACCTTGGCCAGTTGTGGCCTTCTGTGTGTAACACACTCTGATGTACATGGAAGCCTCACTGGTGAGAGTTAAGGGGAGCATTAGCCCTCTCTCTACCCCTTATTCCACTGTGTTCCATGGGCCTTGGTTGTAGAGATTTGGCTGCTGATGTGTCACCTAGTCTATGTTCTCTACGCCTGATCAGATGTGCAACTCTGTGATAGGCCTCATCTATTGTAAAAAGAAGCTTCTTTGATGAATGCTGTATGGCATGCTTGTCACTCTAGGTGAGGTCTCTTCTATAAGAGACCACATTCCCTGCAAATCAGCTTCCAGGTATACATGTGTATTAATGTTCAGACATGATATGCCTTTCTCCTAGGGTTTCTAGGGCATCTTTTTTCCCTCTAGGTTTCCTAGTCCCCCAAGGTTGACTTATCTTCACTATTTTTTCTCCCATCTGGGTACCATTCTCTCTCCATCCCTAGTCACAGTGTCACCATTATCCTCACCCTACCCCCAATACTTCCTGATTCCTTCCATCTTTCCTCTTTTGACTTCCCTCCCTCTGACACCATGGTCCATTGCATGTCCCTCCCTCCTTTCCTCCCTCCTGATTACTTCCACTTTTCCCATCTCCCTCAGTTACATCTGTTCCCTACTGTCCCTTTCAGGTTGTTTCTTTTCCTTTACTTCCATGTATCCTTTGCCTTTTCCTGGCTCCTGGTGTTACGTCAGAATTCATATACTCACATATAGGGACTGGTGCTACAATCCACAAATGAGGGAAAACCCACATGGCTTGCTTTTCTGCATTTGTGTTACTTCACTTAGTCTAACACTCTATAGCTCCATCCACTTACCTGCAAATTTCATAATTTCATCTTTTCTTACTGCTGAGCAGAACTCCATTGAGTAGATGTATCACAATCGGACTGTAGAGATACCTGTACATCCATGTTTGTTGCTGCTCTCTCCACAACAGCTAAGAAATGGAAATAACCTAAATGTCCCTCATTTAGGGACATGAAAACCAGACTTTTGAAAACCATGCAGCCTTTTAAGCTAGTGCAGGTTACTGATAGAATCGTACATAGGTTTAGAAGCCACAGACCCCTTGAGGTGTGTGCAGTTATATTGTTGTCTAAGGACATAGGAAATATCCAAGCCAGGGATCCGGGAGCAATGGTAAGTCATAAAGCCATATCCTGTAGAAAAGTCTTTGAAAAATGAGGCTGAAATGCCTGAGAGACTAGCATTGGCAGTAGACGGAAGTTGTTGGTAGATTTCTGAGTGATTTTCTAGTAAGCCCTGACCTGTTTCCATGGAAAGCCCAAGGCAGGAAGACTCTAAAATGAGGTACTCCAGTGTCTAGAGAGATGGCTCAGTGGTTAAGAACAGACTGCTCTTACAAAAAGGACCCAGGTTAGGTACCAAGCACCCACATGGTGACTAACAACTGTCCATAACTCCAGTTCCAGGGGATCCAACACCCTCTTCTGGCATCCATAGGCATTGTTTGCAAGTGTACACTTAACGTACATGCAGACAAAACATTCATACACATAAAATTAGAATAAATAAAAATAAAATGAGGTCCTCCAGATCTGGTGGCTCTTCAGTTCCCAGATTGCTCCTGCAACATGTGACTGTCTTGGTTTTGCAGCCTGGCTGGAGTCTCAAGGAGTGTGACACTGGTCATCGCGTACATCATGACTGTCACTGACTTTGGCTGGGAAGATGCCCTTCACACCGTGCGTGCAATGAGGTCCTGTGCCAATCCCAACCTGGGCTTCCAAAGGCAGCTCCAGGAGTTTGAGAAGCATGAAGTGCTCCAGGTGAGTGCCCCTTGGGGGACTTTGCAGATGCAGGCAGCCTCCCAGGTCATGGCACTATACTTTCAGAATCATGACTCTTAGAACTGAAAGACCCACAGAAAGTCATGGAGTCCAAGATCATCCCCCTGCATCCCTAAGGGAGTTGTCCCCTGCCCTTCGGGCTCTCCAGCCTCAGCCACAGGATCTTTGTCATTTTTGTTATTCCTGGTGTGCCCTATCAGCTTGTTTCTCTCCCAGTGGATGAAGTTCCCATTTCCTGGTTTGCCCCACTTTCTTCTTCCTCTTCTTTTTTTTCTTTGAATTCCTTTCAAGCTATTAAAGATGTGGTCAGACCAGTGAGGGTGGCAGGGGACATTGTCCACACTCATCACAGCAGCTCAAATTTTAGGTTCATCCCTGGAGCAAAACAGGTTGACCTCTTCACAAGAGTTGCAAATATTCTCTCCCGCCCCCGCCCCATTCCTTTTATTAGCCCTGTCACATACAGACGGCACAAGAACACTTTTGGGGGGTTATTTTTGCATCCATTGTAGATCCCTCAGCAGCAGATAGTAACTGCACCAACTCTGCCAAGTAGAGTCGTAGTTCAGCTTATGGTCATGTCCTAAGCCCAAAGTGTTGAAGGAGCACCTATTTCTCTTGTTTGACCATAACTGTTGACCACAAAGCTGTGATTGCCTGATGCCCTTTTACTTCCTTGTCTAATTTGTGTAACTCCCTCACCATTGTCAGAGGTGAGTCTCTGTGAACATAGCTGTGTATGTATATGTGACATTTGGGATTTGTTTCCAACTTCTCCAGTATCGGCAGTGGCTGAAGGAAGAATATGGAGAGAACCCTTTGCGGGATGCAGAAGAAGCCAAAAATATTCTGGGTAAATATAAAGAGCAAGGGCGCATGGAGCCCCAGCCTGGCACCAGGCGCTGGAGCAACTTTTCGGCCCTGCCTCCTCTGGCCTACAATAACTACACGACAGAGACCTAACAGAGAGATCTGGTGTTTTCCTTCCTGCTGCGGGTCTTCTGGGTTGCCTACAGGCTCCATGTGCTGGTGTGCTGGTGTGCCGGCTGCTGTCTCTGAGAACTGCAAAAGGAGGTCACCGCGAGATGGAGCACTCAGGGCTCCTTCCCCAGCAACCCTACCCTGCCCTTCTCCAGGCCTTTTCACTCTGTCAGTCTTCACCCCAACCTTGTCTCACCAGAGCTTGCTGTGCCTGGGATGCTGCTGGGCTGCTCTGTATTACTGTGTGCATGCAAGAGTATGTGTGTGCATGCATGGATGTGAGTGAGTGAGAATGTACATATGTGTCTAGAGTGTACATGTAACTGTGTCTGCCTGTGTGAACTGAGTGTTCCTGGGGCTGAAAGCTCTAACATCCATGCTTCCAGAATTGGTATGGCCACATTTTTGTTTGACTCCCATGGAAGGTATTCTAACTTGACCTCTGAAAAGCTCCTCACCAAGTCACAACCTGTACCTGTGAGCAGACAGTGAGAACTCTGGGCCATGAGCAGCTCGAAGCAGTGGCCTAGCCCAGATCCTGAGGTGGCACAGAGAGGAAGGGGACAGTGACCCTGATGGTTTCTGTGTATTGGGGGCAGGGGGAAGAGACTTGACTTGATGTAAGTGTGCCTGGATTCTCTGCTGCCTCTAGTCCAGGTGCCCTTGCCAGCCCATCATGTCCCTGAGTTCCACTTGGTGCCTACTCTGTATGGAACCAGCTACATTTGCGTTCCATGGTGAGCCCGAGAACTTCAGACAAAGTCGTCCTGCACCGGAGGCCTGCTCTTCCTCTTGTCGACTCCACACACCCCAAACCTCTTGCTGGCTTCCCTTTGCAGGGGCCCAATCTCAGGTTTGCACGTACCTGCAGGAATTGGAAAGAAAGCGCATTTATTGAGCACTGTAGCAGTTCACATTTTAAAATGCCTGAGCATTTACTAAGCTCGTTGGTGTATGCTGTGGGCTTGATCTTTTCACCTTAGCTACCTCCTTAGATTTTTTTTTAAGGTTGGAGTATCTCTGAATTCCAATCAATTCTGCTCCATAGCTGACAGTGTTAGTCCCAATTTCTTTTGTTTTCTGAAACCAAAGGGAAAGGCAATACTACCGTTATTTAAAGTTTCCAGTTCAGACTTACCTAATGCCTTCTAGTGATTAAAATCCCTCGGTCCAGCCTAAGAGCACCTCAGCTCGCAGTTTAGGGCAGCAGGCATCCTGAGATGCTGTGCACAGTTCAGTGTCCAGTCCTTATACCAGTTCACATTTCTTAAGCACACAGAGCCATACAAATGAACAAATGCAGTCCACCTCTCCCTAAAAAGATGTTGCAACCCAGTTTCTCTGAATTCCATCACAAAAAGAGGCCCTGAGAAGAGCAGTTTTCCTGTGCGTGTAGAAGGTGTCAGAGGTGAGCTTTTTGGGGCCCAGGGAAAAGGAGGTTGCCAGCTCTCCATATGTACTGGCCTGTATGTACAGTGAGAAAAGCAAGGTGGCCCGTGGACTCGTTAAACTTCATCTGAAATGATTTGCCTTAAACCAAGAGGGAATGTAAATATTTAGGAGGATTGGTAGAGCATGTGCTTAGCATATATAATACGGGTTTGCAAAGCCTCAGTACTGCAAAGAGAAAAGGGGAAATGTGCACAAATGTGTGCACATTTGTGAACGACTACATATATTCCCATAGGCTTTGAAATGTCTTAATTTTTGTTGCCAGTAATGTTCTTTCTCCACAGCCGCCCCGGGAATTCTGAAGTACTGGGCCTTTCTCAGAAGACTGCAATGTACCTGAAGTTTCTGAAATATTGCAAAGTTCAGGCTGGTGCTGCCAAAAAGAAAAGTGACCTAGAGTTTATTTTTAAGTATCCAGTAGTGATTTGTTTTTCCATTTAAACCAAATGCATGTATAATGTTGGAATATGTCGAGAACTGTAGAGATTCTTTAGCAAGAGAAAAGGTTTTGCCTTAACGCCACTGCTATGGCTGTTTTCGGTCTTGTTTTGCTTTGTTTTCACCCTGACTGATGCTCACAGAATAATCTCAAGAGTTCTGCTGCATTGTTTAGTTTCTGTTAATAGCGATTATTCCTTGTGAACTGCTACCCAGGGAGGAAACCAGCACCTGGGAAATGTGCAGTGTGAACACCACCCTCCTGTTCTTAAATGCTCCAGTTCGAGACATATCTTAGTGTATGTTTTATCCAGGTTACTGTTATCCATGGTAGAATTTACCAAAAGCTACACATTTTGTTAATAAAGGGCAACTTAACCAAGTCTAACATCGTGTCGTGTATTCTTCCTTCAGTGAGATGTGAAGGTCACATGTTTCCGTCTGTGAATGATCACAAAGCCCCATTGAACCTGCCCCTGGTCTTGCCTCAGAGGCTGTGCTTCTCTCCGAAGCCATGCTGGGAAGGGCACATGGCACACTAACGACTCCTGACTTAAAAAGAAAAAGAGGCGCTTGGGGTTGGGGATGGTGTGCAGGGTAGAGTACTTACCTAGTATCTTCCATCCCTAGCACCAAAAAGAAAAGTAGATCCTCTCTGGTTTGAGAGAAGTTTAGGCACAGACATTATACTTTGCTGACAGTATGAAAACTATTTAACACCTTTGGAATTAGTATATTTGACACATGAATACACTGCCCGGGTATTTCCTGAATATTTACCAACATTATTGAATATGGTCACTCTAATTCTATTTTCAGTTCTTAATGTGAGGGAATTCAAAACTGACTTGAACAGCAATTTAAGGTCAGTTGCTAAATTTTCCTCATCTAAATCTGGTGGAGAAGTTTGGCTTAAAGGAAAGGCAGGTGATCTCGGGAGTTAATGCACATGGGCCTTAACTATAGGTGGCAGACTTGACATGGTTGTTTTTATTGCCTGGAAACTCCTGGCATGACTCCAGAAGGGTGAAAAGGACCCTGTATGCTGACTCAGATCCCATCTGGCTTAAAATCAGGCCACAAAATCACCTTGGACTTGAAAACAGGTGCCTGATGGTAGCCCTCGCGTTGGTATATAGGATGTTTTTCTGTGCCAGACAAGGAGCCCTGCCCAGGTCTCACAAACCTACCTTTGGAGGATATCAGGACACTGAGGAGGCAGTAGCCAGGCCCTATCACAGTCTCAGAAGAACCATCATGTCTGCATGGAGGTAAGGAAACAGCAGGGAAGCAGGCTCTTTAGCCACAAGTCCAGCCATCAGGGCCACCATCACTTGTAGCCTGATGTCCTTCCTGCCTCTATTTCTCACTGTGGGACCACATCTAAAACTAAAATCACTACTCCTATGCTTTCTAAACATAGAAAAAATGTTTTACACACTGGAGGCCCAAACCTGAAGCCACTATTTACCTGCCCCTACCCTCATGGTAACTTCCTAGCTTTTATCTGGAAGCTGCCTGCCCTATGATGGCATTAACTTGCTTAGACTAGAAGCCAGAGGCCCCTTTTCTCTTCATGACCAAACTAGGTACTTGTGGGTCATATTGGGGAGGAAACCAGGGACCTGCACCCCAACCTGGGGACTTTGGCTTGTAAGATGAGGTGGGTCATGGCCCAGGGCCATTCCCTAGGCTGCCTTCTGCAATTTTCTTTAAACCTTGTGATTTAGAATCACTGTTCACAAAAGGAAGAGACAGACCTTATCTCGTTCCTTGTTCACCAGATACATCACAGCTGGGCTCCCAGAACAGTTAGCAGAGGGGACCTATTGCAGCTGCCTCTGTTGCCACAGAGGAGGAGAAATAATATTCCAGTTTGAGGGACAGCGGTGTTAAGAGTGGGATCTTGGAAACATCTCATTTGAGACCTGACACCTAAGACATGGCATCAGTATCATGTGAAGGAATGAGAGTCCAGGCCAAGGCCGCACTTGTGGGTAAAAACCTACAAGTATGAGAGCTCAGTGTTGGGAGCCACAAGCCATTCTGTATGAGTAGACCAAACCACAGAACACAAGCAGCGGGTGAGGACTGCAGATGAGGCTCACGAGACGAAGGCCTGACCGGTCATGTGCTTCTATAGGTTAGTATCCCTTACCCGAAATGCTGGGGACCGGAAGTGTTTTCAGATTTTGGAACAGTTACAAGAGCATCATGAGATAGCTTGGGGATAGGAGCCTCCATAAACCTAAAATTCACTTGTTTCATCTGTACTTTAAACACATACACATATGTATATATGATCTGGAGGTTATTTTGTACCTTGTCGGTGCACCTGTACTTCAACTGTCACCTGTCACTTAAGATCAGGTATGCAATTTTTCATTTCTGAAAAATACCTGTGCCCCCCCCCCACCAAAAAAAAGTTGGATTTTGGAACATTTTGGATTTCACATTTCCTGGTTAGAAGCATTCACCCTGTAACGGCAGCCAGTTATTCCTTACAAATGTCCTTACACATGAACCGGTTGACTTTCCCAGTCCTCTTCACTAACCAAGCCCTGAGAGTTGTCACAAGGGGCTTAGTGGTAGAGACTACACCATTACACCTTGACACTGCAGGAACCCGTTGAATAGTGCCGAATGAGCAAGTGTGATCTGTGTACACATGGAAGGCTGTCTCCTGTCAACATGGAAACTGTTCTTGACCTAAATGAAATACAAAATAGTTTATTCTGAGCCAAATATGACTGAACATGGCCCAAGAACACAGGCTTAGGTTGCCCTGGATGGCATGTTCCACCACGGAGGCAGCTGCATGATTTTTTTAATCGTTACAGAATGAAAGTTGAACCAATGCATCTATCAGATACATTAGTGGAGACTTAAGATGTGCAGGCTACAGTAAAGAGGGACTCTCTGTTACAGGTGTCACATGCTATCTGAAGGGCATTCTTAGCTTTTCGGTTGGTGAGAACTATTGGTATGTTAAGTTAATACATTCCAAAGGTTTTTCCTGATAGTCAAAATGATGTTAAGTCAGATACAAAGGTGGGTGATCAATGGCCATTAAGAAGACTGAAGATAGCCCAAGATAATTTTGACTCTGAATCTATAACATTCCAGCTCTCCACAATCAGTCTTTTAGTCTACAGAGTCTTCAACACAGATGTGCTTTTTTTCTGGTCATTTCATTTCATACTTGGGTGCTGTGGAGAGTGGGTCTGTCAAGAGGTGGCTGTGAGCACCACCCAGGAGAGAGAAGGTGGACTCGAGGGGAAGGAGACTGAAGAGGGACAAGCAAGAATTTGGAGTGACCATATGTATGGAATGAGGGCTCAGGGGCCTGACCGCTATCTAGGATGTCTGCCAACACTAGTTCTTTGATACCATGTCCCTGTGTGGTGGTGTGTACCTCTGCCATGTTAAGGTTAGATTTCAGGAAAATGCTGAAGAAAGAACTGGCTCAGTCTGAGATCTCCAAGGAAGTTCATCCTAAAGTACAAGCGGCTTTGCAAAATAAGTACTCAAGCTTGTCTGTGCACCCAGAACACCATCCTAGATATAAGACTCATGGACATTATTATACAAATCAATCTCCAATTAAAAATACTGGCTTTCCAAAAATTAACTTTATTCCCCTGGCCAAGCTGCCTTTTTCTCTCTCTTTTTCAGAACTTCTGGGGTATCAGTTTAGTCTTTGGTCCCTTTGCAGTATGCATGGATGGTCAATGTGAGCTTAAGAACTAAGGACATTACCTGGACCTGGCTATGTCTCCTGACAAGGACTGTGCCATAGCCAATGGAGTATACAAGACCTGCTCACTTCCCATCCTTCCCATCAGGCTCCATCCTTCCCTCACTGGGCAGGGATGGATGTTCCACAAAGCCACCTTTGATGGGTCCCATGCAGAACACCCATGTTCACACCACATGCTCTGCCCAAGCTGAATCTATAACTCAAATCACGTTTTGGGGGGCACTGTCCGTAAACTTCGGTGTTTGCCCTTTTCCCTGAGGAAGAGCTCCTACTAGAGCCTTTCCACAATTTATTGAGTGCTGATTCTTTCTCGTTTGTCTTGGCAAGAACTCTGTTTCAACCCTATCAGTTATCTGTAGAGACCAATATGATTCAGGTGGCAGAGGGTGGGGGGCGGTAAGTTACACATGCATGCAAACACAAGATATTTGATTTGTGGTTTTTGTTGTTTTTCTCTCAAATCTTTAGCCTCCAGGCAAATAACATGTGCTATGTCTGGGTCATGCCAAGCTCAAATATCCAGACATTTGGGTCCCAGATGGCTGCTTCCTGGCAGTGCCCTGGGTAACATAGGAGTCCATATCCTACATCCAGCGCCAGTCACCAACTGCCACTTGCATGGCAACCTCTGATCATAGAAATAGGGAACACAGGAGTCACACCCTTGCCATCCCACATCAGCTGGCTCCTCCCATCCTGACCCTGAGTTATTAATAATTTTATTAAGAATGTGCTTTCAACACTCTGGTATTTATATATGTACTTAACAAGAATCACCAAGACTGCAGAAGGTAGTTCCTCTTCCCTTTCCTTCTGATTGCCAGAGAAAGGGAGAAACAAGAAAAACTGCTTTTTACTCATCACTTGGAAGCTTCATTCCCTTCTTCCATTCAGTGGCATCTCCTTGTCCTCAAGTGCATCAGAACACACCCAAGGGCTTGGAGAGAATCGTACATGGACCTCATCTCATGAAAGAGGGCTAGACACTGCTTATCTCCCTGCCCCAGCTAAAGACCTCGAGACCAGGGGCTAGAGAGATGGCTCAGCAATTAAGAGCACTGACTGCTCTTACAGAGGACCCGGATTCGATTCCCAGCACCCACATGGCGGCTACAAACCGTCCTTAACCCTCTTCTGACCTCTGTGGCATTGCACGATATGGGTGCACTCACATACACTCACACACATAAAATAAAAATAATAAATTTTTTTTTGTCTTTTTGAGACAGGGTCTCCCTGTAGCCCCAGCTGTCCTGGAACTCACTATGTAGACCAGGCTGGCCTTGAACTCACAGAGATCCACCTGCCTCTGCCTCCCGAGTGCTGGGATTAAAGGCATGTGCCACCATGCCCAGCAAAATAAAATATTTTTTTTAAAAAAAGACCTCAAGATATAGCCACTTCAGAGTCATTTCTGCCATTGTCATGGATTCGAGTCCTGTTTTGCAGCTCAGGCTCAAGCAGCTGAAGTGAACATCTGACAGTACTCTAAGTGCTGAGCCCACGTCTTTCCATCACGGGAAGAAAGTGCCAGTACATGTGTGAACATCTGCACGTTGGTTTTATTTTGGTTCTAGATCTCTATGCAAACTATTGATCATAAGAGTTAGTGGCTCACAGCTAACTTT